AATATGGATCATGTAGTTGAAGAGTTAAAAATAATGAGAACAAAGTCAAATATTATAGCGGAAAAGGATCAAATAGATAATCATGAATTACTTTTATTATCAAATAAACAACCACTTGTGAGTACTAATGATTCATTACATGAATTTAAAGTTCCCGAGATGATGGATATCGAGGAAACGAAATCTTCAACAAATAAAATTGGTAATGAAACTATTGATGAAATTGTTGAACTCATTTTTAAGAAAAGTAATGAGGGTAACTTTTTAAAGTAATCAATCAACATATCTTTGATTACCTTAAGAATCAGAACATTTCCTTGCAAGAAATTACTGATTGGTTGTCAGACAATCAAAAAGATTCAAACTCAACTTTTTTACTTGGACTTTTTTTTGGAATCTGGACAAAGGAAAATGAAAAAAAAAGTTTTGATTTATTTTTTAACGCTTCGGAAAAAAATAATACATTAGCACAATATTATGTTGGAGCATGTTATCAATGTGGATGTGGTGTCACAAAGGATGAAAAGTTGGCGTTTGAATATTATGGAAAGGTAGCAGATAAAGATTTTGCAGCAGGTCAATTAGAAATCGGTTATTTTTATAAAAATGGAATAGGTATTGAAAAGGATTTGAATCGGGCCGTTCATTGGTATGAAAAAGCCGCAAATAATGGGAATGTCATTGCTCTTTCCAATCTTGGTCTTTGCTATTTACATGGAGAAGGTATTAGTATAGATTTTAATAAAGCTTTTGAACTATTTGAAAAATCAGCTGAAGGAAAAAATTCAAATGGAATAACAATGTTAGGACACTGTTATGAAAATGGAATTGGAATCGATATTAATAAGCAAAGAGCATTTAAATTATATGAAGAAGCTGCAGATTTGGAAAATGAAATAGCTCAATATAATCTTGCTCGTATATACCAAGATGGAAATGAAATAATTGGAATTGAAAAAAATGGAGATAAAGCAATTTATTGGTATGAAAGATCTGCTCAATCTGGATATCAAAAATCTCGAGACAAATTAAAAAAACTTTTACAGACGGAAAATAATAATGACATGTGAAATTATTTCTCATTTAGACTCTCAGATCATCCCGGATGATTTTGTTAATGTTGATATCACGTGAGTTATATATAATAGTAGTATATCAACCTCTTCGTTTCGCTATCAATTAATAGTTCATCATCATCTTTTTACACAACTTTATAACTTTGAGTACTTTTTGATTTTTTTAATAAAAAATCAATCCATCCCGATATCAAGAATAAATATGAAAGGAAAGAGCTTATAAAGATGCTTCTCCAACCATATTCATTTCGATTCCTTGTTCATGCTGGAATGGCCACTTAAGATACTCATTAGTGTACAAGCTTAGTGTTGCCATTATGATGTAGCGTAAGGTTAGAATTTAGAGAGAGGTGAAGATTTGATGGGGTAGGTTCTGGGACAATTCCCTCCAGAGCAAGAATCAAAACTATTCTTCGTATGGTAGTTAAGAGCCGGATTTAGGTGATCTAGAGGTTGGAAGTGCGGGGTAGTTTTGATCGTTCGTTAGTATTGAATAAATAAAAATCACGTATTTACATTTCCTTAACTCAAAATATTTAAAAATATAAATTTTAAAAAAAAAAATGACAAATAAATGTTTATATACTTTATTTTTAAAAAATGAAGGATCAAAGATTAAACTATAAATTGTGTTAATTTACTAACTTTGCCTTTAAAGGGAATTACTGTTTAAAGTCTTTAAAGAAAGCGAACTTAAAGATAATTAAATTTGGTAAAACTAACTATATATGAAAATATACATATAAATTCTTGCAATGGAAATAATTGCACTTAAACAAAATTTAATTCTTGAACTGAATTGACCCTTTTTTTATAGAATAATTTTTTTTTTTTGAATTATATTTAGTATTTGTTGGGAAAAAACATAAAATTTTCATCAATTCTACTTTGTAATGATTGTAATTCTTTAATTGGTCCTCAGTTTAGAAAATGGCAAAAGGCAAAACCCTATATTTCGATGGATTGGTTAGTACTTCAGACCTATCAATCGTGACGTTCAATATTAAACACTAATTCGTGAATTTTGAATCATTGGATATTTATTATAAACGTATTTAATAATTTTAATTATCCTTCACTACGTTATGAAATAACAGGTATGAACTTTTTATATTATAAAGTTGAGCAAAAATAGTATATTACACCCGAAAAAAATTGATGAGAAATAAAATATTGTAAACCGCCAAAAGTTTGGGTCAGTCCTATTTCAAGCCAATCAATGATGAAACACAGCTTGTTAGAATCGCCATAACAAGACGCATGTAATTTCGTATCTCCAGCGACAATCGGTTGTAAGGTTAACTTGATTGAAACTTTTCGACAATTTTATCAATTTAAAATTTAGAAATATCGCGACATTTCGTTTGCCTAATACAGTTCATTACATCTAATAGAGGTTAATTCATCAATAGGTAAAAAAGTTTTAGCAAATAACATTTCGAAAAAAATAGTCAATTATCGAAGCTAGAAATAAAAGTTGTGTTGCGATTTATGTTATACTTTTGGAGGTTGGTGTCTTTATTTAAATACATATATTTAAAAAATATCAAAAATAATTTTATTTCAACTAAATAATAATAATAAAAGAAAATTCTAGTTAATAATCGTAAAATTAATTAAATTTAATTTCCGATTTTTAATTTCCGATTTTAAATTATTGAATAATTAGAAAACAGGAAAAGAACTTGAAATATTACAGGAAAATTATTTCAATAAAGCGTTTGGTTTTTTTTTTATTAATCCAAAAAAAAAGAAAAGAAAAAAAGAAATTTCTGACAGGCGCGGCGCAGTACTATAAATGGGGGGTTTTTATATATATATAGATATAGATACAACACACACATATATTATCGAAAAATCGGATAACAAAAAAAGTTAAAAAAAAAAAGTTAGTGTGCTCAGTAATATATCTGCACTATCCTTTAAAGATTTTATATATTATAAATTGATTCTTTAATTTAGAACAAAAATCCCTCTCCCTAAACCCTACATAACGTTCCTATTTTTCGATTTATTTTCATGCATCCCAGTTATTGTAAAAATGCATAAAGAAAGATTTACGCTATGATTTTTAAGATGTTAAGATTCATCATTCGATTACTTAATTTGAATTGCCTAATTGGTATGTTTAATATCGGCATGTCTCACCGATTTATCCGATACATAAATAAAAAATAAATTTATTATAAAATAGATTCAAATAAAAATTTCTTTTTCCTCAAACATACGTAAGAAAAAAAAAAATAATTATTTTTAACGCGTCGAAATGGAAAATAAGTCTTATGAAATTAAATTCAATATGCTTTTGATTGGAATGTTAAACACCATATTCGCACATATATACACATACATGTTTTCTCAACTCACTTTATCGTGCTGGACGGGAAATAAGTTTGTCTTTGCTCAAGATTATTATTTTTTAATCTTAGCTGCTTAGCGTGCCCCGTAATTGATTTGGTGTTAAACATATCTTTAAAAGAATGTACGTGGTCTAAATATATCTGACCATTTTTAAGATTTTATCGTACAAACATTGGATTTCATGTAGGTATCAAATTATGATGTATTCGTCGTAATGTTGCAAATTAAATTAAATTTTTCTTTCTTTTCGTTTCATACTAGTTTGTATATACTTTTCCGATGATTCCTCCACACAAACTTTTGAAAATCCCACTTCTTTTTATGGTGGAATGAAAAGAGAAAGCGGTTATTATTTCTTTAATTTGACTTTGGTTGATAACATTATCGATGGTTACGTCATGATGCAGTTTTAAAAAATACAAAAATTGGACATTCTTATCAAAAAGTTATGTTTTACCAAAGTCATGTATTGGAATTTGTTGACCGTCGTGACTGCATACTTGTATCATATGTTCATTGGCATGAAATATTACCGAGAATAAGGTGTCTATTAACGACGCAAATTCGCTCTTTTATCTCATCACCATAGAGTCACTATGTAAATCAAAAATTATTCGACATTTCCTCTGTAAGCAAACCTTCAGATCTTTTTTATTTCGTCCATGTGTTATTTGTTTATTATCATATATTTTTTCACATTTAACTATCATGAACGCATTATGTGCCATTATTAATACGTAAGGATACGTTGCTTTTATCGAGAGCTTAATTTTTACGATTAAAACACTGATCTGCAGAATTCGTACCGATTTTCCATAACCGGTTCGAATTCAAATATTGCGAAAGGTATTGAGCTGTAGAATCATACCGTTCTGGTCAAGCGAATCGTACCTATCGGTTTTCCATATACCCTTTGTTCCATCATATGAGTATAAACTTTTCTAGCTGTAGAAAGTTAATTTAACAAACATTGAGTGTATCACAATGTCCTTAAATGTTTACTATTTAGTTAGTGTCAAAAATTAATTAAATGTTTAGATGTTATTTTAACCAAACAAAAAATATTTTTCTTCAATTCATCAATAACAATTTTGTTCTTTTTTTGATGTCGATCGTCCAATTTCGGTATCGTTATCGTTAAAAAACCACTAATCACGTGATAAAGAATATAATCAAATTTGCAATAGTGATCGATTTAAAATGCATATTAATTTTCTAGCATTTATCTAGTAAATCTTTTTAATTAATAAGCAATAATAATAACAATAATAATAATAATAATATCGTTCAACATAATTGAGTTTAATTATCGAACTTATTCAATGTGACTTTTGCGATACAAATAAACGAATGAATGAATTATCAAATTGGCAATTCCAACTTTTCATGGATTTTCCGCGATAATTTCGAAATATCTGTACGCATTGACGGTCCAATCGCTAGCTACAATTAATAAGAACTCAAATATACATGCATGTTATGTTACACGAATCAGATAGAGAAATATTTAAAGTCGTATTAAAATGATTTCCTTTTTGACAAATTCCTTTCTATTAAATAAACATGTCAACATCCGAAATAAATAATTCCAACGCAGATCATGATTGGTTAGAAAGAGCGATATCTGAAAATTATATCAAATATTATGATTTTGCTGAGTTCATTAATTGGGAAGAAATCAGCAGCGGTTCTTATGGTAATGTTTCTTGCGCAAATTGGAAAGGTACGGGAACTATCATGGCTCTAAAACATTCATATAATTTGACCATTAAAGAGATCGTTAATGAGGTAAACTATTACAAATAATATATTTATTATACAATTAATAAATAAAGCATTCATTTTAACCTATTGAGGATTTAATAGATAAAAATGCAACGAGAAGTTGATTATCATGCAAATATTATAAAATTTTTTGGGATATCGAAATCGAATTTAACAAATAAGTATATGTTGGTTATGGAGTACGCTGATGGTGGGTCATTGCAATCTTATCTAAAGGAAACTTTTAATAAACTTGAATGGAGTAGTAAATATCGGCTAGCTTTGCAACTTGCGAGTGCTGTAGCTTGTATGCATAACGAAGGAATCATTCACTGCGATTTGGTAAGAAAACAATTATTTTGTTAAATATATTTACATCAATAAAGGTAATAAAATATTCTTGTTGTTTATGTAGCATGCACAAAATGTACTTGTACATCAAAATAATATCAAGTTGGCGGATTTTGGTTTATCAAG